AAAAAAAAAAAAGCTGCCAAAAAACAATGCAGCATATTGTGTTTCTTAGCCAAACACTCCTCTGGTGTAGCTCAAAATTAATTACAAAATGAAAAGCTTTTCAAACAGGAAGGGAGTCTGACGACTTTTTCTTGTTCTGTGCCTGAATTATTTTAGAAAAATTTTGAGAATGCCTCGCCAATTACAGATGCATTGAAAGCTGCGATATCTGCCAGGGTTATATGATTTCAGAAGATGGAAAACAAAACACAGCTGTACTTCGCCACAAACATTTGGATAACACAGCACTGTGCAATATGACAATCAGGCGTCTTGCTTCCACACAGCCAAAAGTGTGAATCTGCCAAACAAAATCTTCAACCAAAACCACCACAATTTACTGGCAGACCAGTCGTCATCATTGGACCAACGAGTCTGCTTAGTTGCTTGCAAAGTAGACGTTCAGAAATTGTACTCAGCCACCTCAGTGTTTGCATTATAATGCATTTTTCTAGCGGGTATACGTGTTGGTGAAAAATTGTGCTTTAAAATGCAGCAGAATGAGAGTAATCACACAGGATGCATGGCTAACAGCTGCAGATGAACGAAGAGTGGCGGGCAGTGATGGAAGCTCGGCATTAGAGAAACACAACCAGCTGTTATTTCTAAAGGGGATCATCTGCTTATCACCGCCATATCCAGCAGGAATTTCTCGCCTTTGCTTTATGTGGCGTGGCAGGCCGATTTAACTGATGTGCAACTGTATGCTGAAAGGTGAAAACACGGTCTCTCAGACACCCCCCCCCCCACCCCCGCCGTTTAAATTTAAACCCCCTGTGATTGAGTGTATAAATTTAAAAAAGTGGGGGATGAGGGATGGCAGAGAGTGTTTGGTTAGAGCCGACTGTATTGTTAGTGTTTGTCATTAAGGAGCCATCCTTTGATTCAGCGGGGCAATGCCTTTGTGTGGGCTGCAAATTGGCAATCGGCCTACCACATTACCATTCTAATGGTCACTGTAAGGGGTCTCTGAGGAGGTCAAGGCCTGCCTCGGCAGAGGAGAGAGCCCTATTATGTTACACCCTAAAAGATCATCGTTTTTGTTGGGTGTATAGGAGAATAGAAGAGTGCACAAACACAAACATCACATGATTTCAGCTGCAGATGCAGATATTTAATCAAGCTGTCTTTTGTAGTAAGACCCTCAGTCTCCCCAGACGATGGCGTTGTATCTGGACACGTGGCACACAGTGAGAATGGGACTGAACAGATTAAGAGTAACACAAAGAGTCAGAGTGAATGTGGGCATGAGAGGGAGACAGAATGATGTGCAGCAGGCTAGCAGTGAATATGTCACTCAAACCAAAACACTCCTCTAAACTCGTCGTCGGCATTCAGTGGCTGCACCTGCTGTCAGGAGCTTCATACATCATCTCTATCAGGAACCGGACTTACAAATGTCAGCTTCAATGAACACACACCACGTCTTTCAAGCGCCCTGTGATTGTGGTGCTTCAAAATGTAACAGTTAAAGGTCACTTAGGCAAATGTCAAAGACTTCTGAACACAGAGATAATGATTTGGCTTTGATCAACTGCTCTCACTGACATATAGTCCACCTTAGCTTTGGATCAGATTTATGCGTTTTAAGCATTTGGTGCTTTCACACACGCCCAAAATCCTGAAAAATTCCTGAAATTTTCAGGAGTGTGGATGCAAGTGTGAATGCAATTGGCCCCAGCTTTTTTCTGTCAGTTCCATGGAAAATGTCTTTGTGAAGTTGGGGTAAGTTGAAATGGGAGAGCAGCAGGTAAAAGTCAGGAAAATTCACCAAGGGCTAGCAGGACTGGTGGATGACGTTGACTTCACATTACCAGTGAGTGACTTGGGCAATCATCACGCATGTAGTGAAGCTGCTTCATCCTCCTTTCTGCTTGCCAGAATGTTCGTCTCCAACTCTTTTCACCACCAGTCATCAAAGCTCAGTCAGACTTTGCTTTGCTAGACATACTGGCTATCTTGTCAACTCTACTCTTGGAATGTCCTTTCTAGGTCCCGCCCCGGCCCCTGAGACCCACATGTACAACTCAACACTGTAAGGGACGCGTGATGAACAACTTTGAACTCTCACCCTAAGAAGAGGATGTGTCCTCCCATTCTGAAATGTAAAGCTAACTCCGAAATGCCTTTGACCTGCATTCCCTTGGTCCATTTGGCACATCCTCAAAAATCAACGCGTTACATATGCCTGATGCAGGATACACATGACTGGTAGGGGCAGTGAAGAGTGTGATGGGATGTGACAGAGTCAACACAGCAGCAGGGACAGATACATATTTTAATATAGTATTTAGAAGAGTTATAGTTTAAGAAAATGTTTTTTTTTTTTTTACCGAGAACTCATTGGGATTTCTGCACTCCTACACCCTGCCTCTGTGTTACATATTTTGCTTGATGCTGCCATTTCCTTTGACAAGCATGTGTTCATTTCCTGCCATAATATAGTAAGCCTGCACTGTTTGCAATAATGTTCTTTCAAAGCCAGCTTCACCAGCCTTCCCTGATATGAAATCTTAGCACACAGTCTTGCTCTGAGCCATGCTGTCCCGTAGAAGAAACAGCTGTTTGCATGAATCTTTAATGCACAGCCACATTGGCATGGCATTGAAGCAGATGAGAAATTGGAGGATCACCTCAATCTCTGATTTAAGCTGTTTCAAGTCCCCGCTGTTTCAGAATGTCAAACGTCTCATTTACTGGAGTGCACCACTTAAAAATGTTAAAGGTTAGAAAAACAAAAACAGCTACAGCTACAGCACTTTAGCCAGTGCGTAGCTCTGTGACGCAGAGTTCCTTCAGTGGTTTGTAGAGCATGTGGGCAGAGTCCAGACGGAACAGAGAGAATCAGCTTTTCATCGTCTGGAATCACAAGGCTTTGCAAATCAAATGTCTGACGTGGGAACAGAAAAATGTTTGAAATTCATCTTTCAAAGTGAAAACCAATATTTTTAAAAATGTGCAGTATCACAACATGTTAAATTAGATCGAGCCAGGTTTACAAAGAATTTGAAGCATTTTCCTTTACTTCCCTTTGGTGAAATGAAAGTACTCACAAGATAGTCACAAGGTTTAGTAAAAAGTACACTAATGTACATAACCAAGTCTGACCCCTTTACAATTTCTTTTTATTGTTGTATCAGAGAATCTACATAGAGTTCTTTAAGACTTTTTCTTAGGCTGGCTACACGAATCGATTTTAAAATCCTAACCAAGTTTAAAAATGTGGGAGACCACAGACATGAGGAGAGTTTCGGCCTATTTTTAAAATTTGAATCCTCCAAACGTGATTTCAGAATAAAAACAAATATGGAGGACGATGGACGTTGTCAGCTGGCTGTCCTGTCAGGCATTCTGTTTCGCAGTGAAAAACAAGAAGAAAAAAAAAGACTATGGGTTAAATCCTGGTTGAGAAGTTGTGTTTATGTTCACTGCCATGAGCTGAAAAAGAAAGCAACATCCGGATTGTAACGCTTCTATAGGCAACACTCTTGAGGAATATTTGGACAAATAACTGGTTGTGACATGTCAAATCAAATCAGGCCACACCCCCATGATCTTTGGTCTGAAATCGGAGCTAGCTTAAGTTCATTAAAACTAACATAATGCGCTTTTAATGCACCACAAATCAAGTGACAGCCTCTACAGCCAATAGGAAGGTGTCTCTCCAGAGTTGCTGTGTCAGGTCTGTTGGAGACAGTGGGAGAAATGGTCACATTTTACAGGGGGAACCAGTATCCGACCCTAACACAGAAGCTTTGGCTCCAGGTTCCCCCAGTAAAATGAGTCCATTTCCACCACTGCTCCCAAGAGTACATATTTAGTATTTTCTGTGATAGCAATTAGATGTTTTAAGTTAAGTTTAACGACGATATAAAGTCATTACCAGAAATATGATTAGTTTAGTCGCCTAATTGGTGGTTGGCAAAACAATTGTAATTATGTGTAATTTTTTCCTTCCACAGAGAAACATTGAACAGTGGTGTTGGTACGTTTATGAACACAATAACAGAGAGTCACATAGACCTGCAGTGACAGCCAATACCTCAGAGCTGCGCATAATATCGAGGTGATGAATTGACTTCACCTGTGTGCAAACCAATAATAAGCACGGCTGTCTGAGAGCTGAGAATTTCCAGCATATTGAAAGAAAAACACACAACCCACACACACACACACACACATTGTGTTGTTGGTCTGTCAGAGTGTTTTGTGGTCTTAATTTAGAGGGATATTTAATGGTCCCTCTGGATTTGGCATCCAACCCAAAGAGTAAGTATTTCTCCTCGTTTTATATTTCTCTGCAAAAAAGCACTTTGGAGAAATAAGCTAAAGAGTCAACACCGTAAACTGGATATGCTGCCCAGCACAGAAGAGCAACGCGGCTGTCAATATGGCTGCGAGTTTACAATTGTTGTGCTTGCCGACTGCTGTCTGTATCACACAAGTGTGAAAAGCAATAACACCACCAAAGTGCAACTGTTGGCGGTCAATATTTTCTCTCCCTGATAAACCCTCTGGGCAGCAGCGTTCCCTCATCTAGCCAACACAAACACAGCTTTGCAGTTTCAATCTGTCACAGTGTGTGAATATCAAGTCAGGAAGGGGGGGGGGGGAGAATTCAAAATGTAAACCCTGGTCTTTTACCACTCTGCATTCTCAAGTTTCACAAAGGAATCATCCAAATGTGAAGTTTAAGGATTGCCTGAGATAAAGTCACGCTCCTCAGCAGTGTCAGCGGGGTTAAAAAGAACTCCCCGCTGAAAGCAAATTAGTCTCCACGGCTGTTCCGCTGCGACTTTGATTCAGTTTACCTTTTTCTCATGTCACTCCTCTGCGGGGGGAACGTTTTATGAAAAAGCAATCTGAGGCAGCTACTGTGAACCAGACAAGAAATGTGTAATCGAGCACAGCACACACTCTAGAGATGCAAAAACAGAAAGAAGTATAGAGAAGAAACGTACCTGGAAGAAGTCAGATGTGTTTATTGGAGAGAGTCTGCAGGCTGAGCTGGACGAGATGCATGAACACGTCTGGCTCAGAGTTATCTGAGAAACAAAAAAAAGACACGTGACATGTCAGTGTGATTACACAGCTGTGTAACATCTGGAGCAACTAATCGAATGTATGAATCCATACTCTATACAATCTCAGCTCATATGGATGCACGTACGAGTGGGGCATGTGAAATGTGTCATTTTAAAGTTTAATATAATAATTAAAAAAACTTTATTTGCACCTTTCATTAAAACAATGCAGCTCAAAGTGCCTCAGAAAAAGAAAGAATGAAAATTAAATTAAAAACCAGGCTAAAGTGCCGTAATGATAACATGGTATGTAAAACCCAGTTCATGTAATGATTAAAGATGGAATTGGATCCAAAATCAACTGTGATGCCTAAGACAACATGGAGACAATTATTTTTTGTACAAAACACATTTGAGATAAAACACATTAAATGCACAAAATTCCACCTCATGATATCATTACATTAAAGGCACAGTGTGTAAATTTTGCCACCAGGGGGCTCTCAATCAATACAATAACAACAAGATGAAGTTGAAGCTATAGCGGGGAATCATGGGAGTGATTCTCTCTGCTACTCCATCCCCAACCCCGATGAAAACTAACTCTCCGTTGAGCGTTTATGAACGGGCGAAACCTACCTATGGAAGAGAATATGTTTACCGACGATGTATCCAAGTATAATTGAAATGACGTTATGTTCACAGCAGCACAGACAGCAACAGTACGGCAGCTTTCAGTAGCAGCTCACACTTCCTTGTGTAGCGGTGTTTCAACTTACATCCGGTGTTGCCATGGCAACGCTAAACATGTCGTGTCTGTCATGCCGGCCGCCATGATAAGACTCGTCCTGTTACAACTATAAAATTACGGATATCTCTGGCTTTGACAACGGTTGGAAATATTTGAGGTAATGTAAGTACTCAACTTTTTTTAGGTTTAGTCAATTTTTAATTAATTCAGAAATTTTGATGTAAACATTCTACGGAATTCTTGAAATCCTTTTTGAATCACAGACATTTTATAAACTAAGTGATGCAGTGAAAAGGAAAGTTTTCAAAAGATTTTTTGAGCCAGAATTAACTAAGGCTAAAAAAAAGAGATAATAACCCCCCCCCCCACACACACACACACACACACACCCACCCACAGAGCTACAAGTTACATTCAGTGACTCACAATCTCAGTCAACAGCAGCTGCAGACTCCAATTCCACAACGTCTTACTTTTTGAAAAAAAAAAAAACAACAGATCTCCAGAGCCCCTTGAGGAGAAAGCAGCGCTGCGCCGAGGACGTCCAGGAACGCTTACTGTCACCGTTTCTCTGCGCGCTCACACACTGACGGCTGTGACGGTGGGGGCAAGGCTTGGCGCTCCCTCACAGAGGCAGGGTAATTGGCTCGAGATGATGGGCCATAAACATACATCACAGGGGCGGTGAAGCGCTGAGCAGACAGCTAACTAAGGCTCTCTTTTCTACTGCGTGGCTCTTGTTTGTCATACACACACACACACACACACTTACTGTCTCTCATTCTTGGAATATTCACGCTCTTTGAACACACATGCTGGCCCATCATTACTACCACACAGAGAGAAATAACAGCTCTCCTTTCTTTCAATTTCTCACCACAAAGCTGTGACGGCACACTCCGCTCGGACCTTTTGCGTATTTTTGGGCATCTTGACCCAGAGGACGCTCCCTCCTGCCATTATCATGCACTGATATATAATAGGCGCCATCCATTCAATATGCATCATCACCATAACGGATAGGATGCCCCCCTCTCTCACCATTACTAGCACCAGACACAGTGTTGGATAATAGGCTATCCTTTCCTGCGGCGCTATCGCCATGCCGCAGACTTTTCCCTCCATTACCATAACACTCCTGTCATAATAAGCAGGGAGAGCCTTCCAGTCATGACCACAGCTCGCCGGGAGGAGGTCACTCGTGTCAGATTGTTTGCTCACACACGGGTAATTGGAAGAAATAAGGCCGGGCTGAAGGGAAATAGCGGCCGAGCTCCTCTTTCTTCCTTTGTGCGTGGCAGCATTTTTCTATGCTGCTGAGCCATTTGATGTGTTTGAAAAAAGCGAGGAAATAATAATAAGAGATGAGGGGTACGGCGCCAGTTAATTTGGCCTGCTCAATTGCTGCTGTTTGCACCATCCCATGATGATGTATCATAATGGATGCTTCCTCACTATTCTGCATTCTCACATTCCAAACTGAGGAGTTTGTGAATAAGATCCACTTCATTCATCAAACACTTTTCTTTTTATGGGATTTCAGAGGTCTAGCATGAGCGCCTCCCCCCCCCCACTTCAGAGACAAGCAGCAACCTAAAGACCCCCCTAACTCCCTTGGCAGACTGGAACTTCAAGGGGAAGGGTAAAAGCGATGGCATGGGGAGGGAGGGACAAGAGGGGGGTCCAGGCAATACGCTCATTATTCAGGAAGACACTCGAGGCCACAGGAAATAGCACACTTCATTTTTCTTGTCAAACTCCGGCTGGCTTTAATGGCGCGCTCACAGCGAGTGGTGAGACAAAGGGATGGCGTGGCCGCACCTGAGACGTGGGAGGAGTGCCGATAGAGATTGAGGCCGACATCACAGCAGCAGCAGCGGGCAGCAGCAGCAGCAGCAGCCACCGTACATTTAGCTCTAAAGCAGACCAAACAGATCCGGTGAGGCTGCTGAATGTGTCACAGGCCAGAATAAATTCATCTCACCTTTCAGAGAGAAAGTAGAGTAAGGTTTGCTTACAAAAAGGAAAATGAAATATTGTCTCAATTATACTCTAACTGTAGAGGGGCGCAGATGTTCCTTTTGTTCCTCCCATTCCACATCCTCCTGAACCGTCCCTCATTATTGCCTTCATTACCGGCGCCATCTATACGGCGGGCGGCTGCCAGAAAACCTGGATGTATCCACAACTCATCATCCAAACAACAATTAATCATCCGCCCAGCAATTACACACCTTCCACAATACCACTCATTGATTTTGAACACACACGCTGAACGCTTTTTCTGTTCCTTATTTTTTGCACAAGAGGCTTCTGTGAGCGAGGCTGTAGCACGCTGCAGGCCATGCAAAGCAATCTTCTCCCGCCCCATATATCCGCTGGACTGGAACTGTGTTTTTGATCACAGAGATGATGGGGCAGGTGTTTTTTGTGCGGCTACATGTCAGGAAGAGGCCTCGTTCCATCGCGCTCCAATCTCCAGGCGTGGCAGCAGGGCCGTGCTATCAGGCAGTCTCTTTTGTTCAGCTCCTAATTGGGGTAATTTATTGTCCTAACAGGCGGAGCAGCTGTGGCTTTACAGCGTAGCACCAATTAAATCCAGATGCTGGCATGAAAGGATGGGTCTGAACGTGACTCGGGGACCAATCACTAATATTAACTCGGATCTCTGCGAGATGAACGAGACGAGCTGTGACGAGAGATTCCCTTTAATGCATCGCTATTGTGCTGAAATCGAAAAATCCTGATGAGAAAACAGTCACAATCAGATCTCAGGCAGACGATATGAAGTATTTCAAATAATGGATGCAATTATCAGGTAGATTAAACGGGGAAACAAAAAAAACTGCAGGGGACTCCTGACAGCCATGGTGCCCAGACTGCGACTGAAATGCAACTACTCTTCTGGACCCTTGTTTTGGTTTCAATGTTTTTAAAAGACGTTTTTTCCACAACAAAATGGCTCCAGTAGAGGATCAGGTGAATTTGAGCAGGAGATCTGGGGAATATGAGGGAGCAACTGAAAGAAACCAGGTCGCTGTGAAGATTCCTCCAGGGCAGGGATAACCTCGACATACTGCTCTTGCCCCGGCTGCCTCTCCAGCCCGGGCTCTTTAGACAAAGAGCCCCGGGGACAGACACAAATGTGAGTAACACAGAGAGGATGGAGGCAGCGCCGAGGTCACCACCTCAGAGCTGCAGCGGAAAAAAAAAAGACAAACTGCGGATACACAAGCGATATCCTTGGGCCTTAAAATTCAAAGTGAAGAGACAAGGAGTAATGAGAGCACGTTGGCCAGGTTCTCCTTTTTATGTTCATTCGTCTTCTCTGTTCGGTTTTAATGAAGTGTTTGTCCGCTCTGCCATTGTTTACTCTTAATGGATTGTGTTTGTTGATGTAATGTGCTCAGCCTACGACAAGTTAAACATCCTAATGGCTTCTGTATTGTACGTTTTTCACACATCCTGACATGCTGCTTGTGTCTACTTTATCTTCATCAGAAAAGTGCCGTTAATGTGTCGCAACTGCAAAGGAAGCGGGAAACACTGACGCACATTCACAAGGGTGGACGTTACTACTTTAAGAGGAGTATAAGAGAAATACAACAAAAAAAAACATGTCTTCACATTTCTTAAACCATTCAGGTATTTACCTTAGTGAGACAGGATGATACAGATTTTTCTATCGCTCTGTCATGTTAAAGTCCCATCCCACAAATAATTATAGGATATTGCCATTTTTAGAAAGTGCATCTTCAGGTTTCAAACAGCAAAAAGGCCTACTTCAACTGGAAAGTGTTCAGCGGACCAACAGTCAACACATAAATGATCACTTCTTGCCTGTAAATTATGATCGTATTTATGCCAAATTTTACTCTTATAGTTGGCCTGGTTTAAGATTTGGAGGTGGTATATTAGAGTGATCTGTTTGTTTGAACAAATGTAATGCGATTCTTATTTACACCCACAACCCATCCTTTTCTTAACTAAGAAGTTTTGGTGTCGTCACCTAAATACAATACAACAATTTCACAACAATAATGCAGTTTTTTTATTCCTACAGTTTTTCACATCCTTATGTGCCAAAGTGTCTCTTACTGAATTCAAGAATCTATTTTGAAAACACTCCTATTGAGAAAGCTGTTGTTGTATGGGTTGGAGGACTTCTTCAAATTAAGTCAAACCTGTACTTTATTTTTTAATAATTAATTGAAAATTACAGATCCATAGTCACATTTGTAACTTAAAGCTGGAGAAAGCAAAAGATTGCAACCACTGTCCAAATGGTTTAAAAACATTACCAACGTATTTGTGCGATTCAGACGGTGTGCACGAGTTTGCATGGAATTTTTGGTATCAGATTGATGAATAAAATGTTACACTTGTGACAACCCTACCAAAGAGACGAGATTCTTATTTGAAACATCACCTTCTACTTGTCCTGTGATACGGTGTAAAGTCTTTAAACAGTAAATTTAATTAGCAGTGAAAGGCAGTGTGAAGAAAGTTTCACACATAGGAGGTATTATCCTTTTCTTGCAACACCTGTCTTAAAGGCTTCCTCCTCTTCAGGGGGGCAAAGAAAAAAGTAGCAGCGGTAGATGGACTTGTACGTCTCTGAAGCACCTTCCTCCATTAGAATTCACCTTACCTCGGAGCTCCTCTGAATCCTATTACTTTCCTCATCGTACAACTGACTTTAAACCTCGGAGACAATATAAAATACCTGTTTGCTGTAGCCTTGACAACAGTAGCTCTTCTCCGTCTTTGCCTCAACCTCTCTGCCCCCCACCTCCTCCTCTTCTTTACTCTCAGAGAAGAAGGAGTCGGACTCTGTTTGCGAGCAGAGAGCCGTAAGCGGGGCGACTGCATGGCGGGTAAAACCTCCGTGCTTCACGAGGATAAAGAGCTCTGACCCAATTAGTCGTCTTTGTTAAATGAAACTCCACCGGCCCCCGTTTAAACCGCCACATACTCCCCCCCCACCCACCCACCCACCTCCACCCCTTCACACTCTCCCCCTCCCCTGCTTGTGTTTTTACAGCACAGAGTGATTACAGATTTAATTAGCTGAGGACCTTGCTTCAGGGAGACTCCTAAATCCATATTGATATTTCTGCAGAGTTCGGAGATAGAGGCCAGGGCTCAGCGATGATGACTTACGAGGGAGGCTGAAGGAAAACATAATGAAAAGATGGTTTGCAACTTTTGCCCCCCCCCCCGGTGGCTAATCACTCTGTAGCAGGAAGATGTTGAGAATTATGCATCGAGAGCAGGGAGCTGATCAATGCTGACTTAATGCTACAGCCTTGGATGTAAACAGGGCTGCTGTCGAGTTCAGCAGCTTTTTTCTGCTTCTGACGTGAGGGTTTTCTGCTCCTGCTGAAATGTATCATCTGTCTGCACACCTACTTTCAAACACCTGGACCACATGATAAGAACAGGGTTACAGTTAAATAGACTTGACTAACATGGGTGCTCATATTGATGACTTAATTTGAAGTAAACAACTAAAATGCGGGGTTAAAAAAAGACAGAAAAATCATGTTTGTGGTCTACAGTTCTACAAGCAATTTAGAAGTCACTTTTATGCAAAGAGATAGAGAAAGTGCAACACAAGCAAGGATCTAGAGAGGAGGAAACAACGTCGGTAGCTGCTAATGAATCAAAATTTCTGATGGAAAAAGCTGTTGTAAAGAGCGAGAGGTCGGCACATCAGCCGTAACACAATCCTGACACCCATCAGCTTCATTCTCACAACGTTTTAGCTTTTTCTAAGTCTCTATTAATAAATATCTGCAAATAAGTGCATCTAACAATCCAGCTGTAGACATCATCTCTTAACTTCATTAAAATTCTCTCACCTGAAGTTTCTCATCGGAAATTAAACAATGACAGGTTCGGCTGTGAGGAGACAGATCGAGGCTGCTAGAGGAGTGTGAAGCTTAACCGGTGGGGGGGTTAAATGATATTCGTGATGGAAGAGAAGGCTCCGTCGTCGTCAAATATCAGCCATTGGTGACGGATGACAGCATTTTTGATTGATCCAAACCTTTAATGTCCTTTGTCACCTAGAGCTACAATGATGCACCAAAGGAGAAATCCATAGAATGACTGCCCATTTCCACACAGTCCGTGCAGGCTGCGTCCCGTCAGCGCTACGGTTCTTCTCTGTCAGACGACACGCGCCCTAGACCGAAGCGTGAGCAGAGCGGTGGACAGCCGCTCTGCTCACGCTTCATGAGGAGCTGTACATGGATCACAGGAGAACACGGATTCCCAAGATCACAAAGAACTACAAGATCACACTGGAATAAAGAGAAGAACGTGTCTGTCTGGGGTAGATTTTTCATTCATTTGGTGCCTGTTTTGGCGCAACGTCGATGGAAAATATGATGGTGAGTCCGTACATTGAGTTTTATTTTGAAATTGACAAGATGTTCTGTGCGTTTCCTTGTCTGACTTCCTATCTGGGTAGATGTATTATGTCCAGCTTGGCACGTCATTGCAGTGGGATCCGTGGCAAATCGACCTGGAGCTTATTTGTAATGGAGCAGAGTGGAGTGGCGCTGCTGGCACGCTCCGGAGATGGACCGCAGCGCTTGGAATCAGGAGCATTGACTACAGTGGCAGTGAACAGCGCCGTAGTGCGACTGGGGCTATGTGGAAGTTGGAAGTAAGAAGAGATAAAATGATACTGTAGCCAGATGTTAGAAGCCAGACTTATTTTTTGATACTTAAACTGTCCTGTGATCACAACATAACCCTGGATCACCTGTCGTTAAGTCAGAGCTCTGATGTCAAGCGGCATACGGGGAAATGTAGGAAGTCCCGTTCAGCACCCAGCTTGAATTTTCCATTCATTTTTATATTTAGAATGAGTGTTCTTATTATAATGAGACAGGAAGTATCTTCAAGAGAAACAGTGAAGTGTCAGTCTTGGCATAAAAGCCTTCAGCTGAACGCTAACAAAAGAAGGATTAATGATTTCCTGCAAAAAAAAATGTTCCGTAGAGATTCATTTTTTTTTAAACATCCCATTCTCTCAGGTATGACAATATGAAAAAGCAGCGTGCTGTTGGGTTTTTCTTTTCATCTTGACTGTACCAAGCACACAGTACAGTGCTGAGCTGCAGAGTGGGGGAGGGCTGAGCTAACGTGCCAGAGCCGGAGAGGAAATGAAAAACTGAGGAGGGAGAGTACGGAGGTGTCAGAGCAACTCGTCAAACTTCCCTCACGTAGTATGAATATTTCACTACTGACACACAGCAGCTACCCCGACTGCACCCCGGAGACTGACAGAGACAAAGAAGCAGGAACAAACAGATCTGATAGAGGTGGAAGAGAAAGAAGGATAGATAAGAAAGATGAGATACATCAGATAGAGAGATAGATTTATGGATCAATGGATTGATAAATGATATTATTGGATTAATGTGTGATAGATAAACTGCATGATATATATGCACGGTGGATTAATGTGCAATCGATAAATGCACGATGAAAAGATACATGGCAAAAGATATGATGATGGATAAATGCATTATAGATAAATATGAGATGCTCAGAAGGGGGGATAAAGGGGAAAGCTCTCTGTCACCCAGTCTCATGAGGAGGGCCCATGGAGGTGAGCAACAGAAAATAAATCAGGTCCATCCTTATTTTAAGCAACAATACAACACACATATTTTATTTATTGTTGCTTCACTAAAATGTAAACCCCCCTCCTCTTTAAATTCTATGAACCTTTTTTGTTGTAATTGTACCGACGTAAGCGGGACCAGAGGGACATGTTAATGCTAACACTACTGATCAAATGTGCATACGATTTTCCATTTTGGATGGATGGATGCATGGATAGATAGATAGATACATAGATAGATAGATAGATAGATAGATACATAGCTATATACATAGATAGATACATAGATAGATAGATAGAGATAGATAGGCTCTTCACCCAGATGGATTCCTGCCTCAGGCTTCATCTCTCAGTTCAGTATTTCAGCCGGCGGTGCTGACAGGAGGAGCTCTCCACAGCTGACAGCGCTGCCTTCCTGTCTGAGAGCTCACCCATATCACTCCAGCAGCTAATACCCAGGACAGAGCACGACACACTGCCTTCAATCACACAACACACCCACTCCTGTGAATAACGTGGACACTATACAAGCACACACTGGTGAGAAAATATACAAGCGCACAGAACCTTGCAGTTTAGTTGAACATTAGAAATTTTACAGACTTAAGACTCAACTGTGATTATGGCTGTATCAACATTGTAAGTTTAAAAAACAACCTCTTCTGCCCGTTACCATTTTTAGTGCTGGGCCTCAAGATCCCCCAGTTATAAAATAATCCCACTTCTGTCACCAAATAGCTCCATCTCTCTGAGGCAAATTTCAGAGGAAGAAAAAATATATATGTGAGATTAATCTGCCTACGTTTTCAAACAGATTGTCTTCATTCCTCATTACAAAAATGATTTATAGTCAATTTAAAGCAAAACAAAGAAACTGTTTCTCTCTTTCATGCATGTGATCTTTCAGGATTAGCTCTATTTCTCATTTCAAGGGTCACACTGTCGTATAGGTGATACAACTTGAGGGTTTGCTTTAATAAATCATTTCAGCTGCCACATAACAGACTGTCATGGTTTCTATTAAATTCTCAGAGACAAATGCGCACATCCACGGTTTGTCTCATAAAAGTGCATGTATTTGCCACTAAGATGCTTTTATTTCCATTCTGTGTCAAACAAAATCCTCCCAGAGCGTCCCTACAGATACAACTTTGCATTAAGATGCTTTTTATTTATTTATTTTTTTTTTAAACCTGTCAGTGGATACTGATGAAGTGAGCAATGTAAGCAGTGATTGAAAAAAAATATATATATAACTAGGGAAACTAGGTCCCAAGACTGAAATACAAGAATGTCCCTTTAACTTTTAACTCAGGACTGAGCTCTGGGAAACAATTTCCCCCTTTTGAAAAGTTTATTTTATCTAACTTTTTCCAGTTCCATGTATGTTCTCTGTGCCCTCCAAACTGATGTACAGGACGCTAAAAATGCAAGCTGCCTCGGTGCAAACGACTGTTCGAGGCATGTGCTGCAGTAAAGACGTGGTTTCATTTTAAGTGCTGTGTTTTGATTTAAAGTTTGCCGTGTTGTGCTAATCAATAAGTCGGCATTGGATGAGCTGCAGGTTTACGGGAGCAGCGGAGAGAAGGAGGAGCACCACAGCGGTAAATCTGACCTGAAGCACTTACTTCCACTCAGTATCCTATGGGCCATTATTGGTGGGTGTGCTCACACATCAAAGTGGCAGGGGTCTTCCAGGCTAAAAAGAAATAAGAAACAAAGGACCATTAAATCACAGGGAGAGACCTGGCTTCGAGCGACACACACACACACACACACACACACACACACACAGTTTAACACTACAGTCTGAGGAGTGTGAGGAGAGTTTAGCACCCATAGAGAAGGATGGAGAGAGAGAGAAACAGAGGAGGAGAGGGAGAGAAAGGGAGCGCGACATTGATTTTTCCCCCCTCTGAAGTGCCAGTTCATCATTCTGTGAGACACACACTATCGATCCCCCGCCTTTAGTTTGTTTGTAATTTTGGGGGCTCAAAACCGTTCACAAAGATAGATCCTCTTATATGCCACTTGCCTCCCAGATGAAGAATGGAGGGATCAGAGGATGAGTGGAGATGACCTCATTCAGTGAGGGGCTCCTCAATCAGAGGAGGCTCTGTTTAAAGAGGAGTGTAGGCGGTCAACTGTGTTTGTTATAATACAAAGTCACAGTAAGTTAGCCTTTCTGTTTTTTATTCCAACATTAACACCATAAAGCACTATTTCATGAGGGATTTATGACAAGTGCATCTGCATTGGTGGATTTAGGTTGAGATTTCTTTATGGAAAACTTTTTTTAATCAAATTAAATCAATAACTGTCTCTAAAGTACCCCATGTCTTCCAAATAAATTCTCCAGTTTGAAACCTTCTGCTGTTTTCTTCCATGTCCTCTGGTATAAAAAAACAACACAAAAAAGCCATTTGTGTGCGGTTTACTCCACACAACACTACATCACTTCTGGACATAAAATTACATCCTTCAAGCAATAACCTCCCACTTCCATTTGGAGCTGGAGGCGACTCGCTAAACCTGCCAAGTGGCATTTTAACTCCTAAACCTCTGATGCCCCTCTCACAGCTCTTTACCCAATCATCACTCGTTACTTCTTTGGCCCACAGAAAGAGTCCAATCTGTGCGTTTCTATACCGAATAATCATCAGTGAAGTACACTTCAGTTTGGAAATATTCTGATATGTTCAGTTTATGTTCCCCTGACGGTAACGCATCCAGGGCAGCTTCTGAAGTGGCGGACTGTGTACAAGAGCAGCTTCAACGCACACCAAACGCCCCCATCTTTATTATGGGAGATTTTAAACACTGTAATCTGAACACTGCACTCCCAGGTTTTGAACAATAAGCGTTCAATCACAAGTGGAGCTGGAAAAAAAAACCTCCTCTATGAATCAATCTGAATCTTTTTTTGTTAAAAACGTGCAGGGCTCTTTTTTGTAGTCTTGGACGTCACTTTTTACAGCACTTTATTCAATATGTTTCAAACAAAAAACTGAAATATCTTTCCCATTTGTGGTTGTCTTGTCTTTCCAATTACCTTTTCATAGCACCAATTTATTGTCAGCCTCGATTGCTCTACTGTAGTTTAATTTCTTTCAGCGTGATGTGACTTATAGCTTTCAAAGAACCTTTCCCAGCACTGAACATTTTGTTCTGAGATCTGTCAAAGAGTATCCGTACTGCTCAGTATACAACAGAAGGTATAACACAAATATTGAGAAGGTACATTGTTTTCTATGTTCCATTTCGCTGTTTAAAAGAGGTGTTCACACATTCACATAGGTGCATCAAACTATCACTTTGAAAAGAAAAAATCCTGCACACTACTCTTGCTAGGCATCACCAGTTTATCATGTTTCGTTCCCTCTGAACCTTTGTCAAGTGTGAAGGATTTTTTTCTTTTCAAAATGTTGCATTTCATTATCGTCATTCAAAATGAAATCAAAATGTTGAGAATGAAGTCAAGATGTCAAGCATGAAGTCAAACCATAGTCAAAGTATAGTACAACGTTTTCAAATAAGTCAAAGGAAGACTTTTTTGCATTATTAGCATTTCCCGACCAAAGTCAAAGTGTTGACATTCAAGTCAAAATGTGAAGAAAAAACTTAAAAAACGAAAAACATGTTTGAACTTGAACTAGTGTCAGGCATAAGAAATGAAACAAGAGGAATGGAATTAATTTAAGGATTTGAGTCCAAAGGTTGAAAATGAAGTTGAAATGTCTGGAAAAAAAAATCCAACTTTTAGCATTAGAGGAAGAGGCAACCTCTGGTGCTGAAAAATGAAGCCAATGCAGACGTGCAAAATCCTGCAGTGTGTTGAGTGTCCGCTTGAGGCTGGCTCCAGGAACACCGGAAGTCACATACACACGACTAGCAAAAAAACAGTTTTTACAGCAAATATGTTTACAGCCTGGTTTAAAACAATGGAAATGGTCTGATTAGTTATTGTCATCACTGGCTCACCCTGTACAGGAAGTGACATTTTTTATAAATGTTTTGATTTTATTAATGATGCGGGTTATCCATATAGTTAGGCGCGTATAGCTGACATGATTGACAGGTGAGCGCTATGTAGCGGTTTATCAGGAGGCTTAAAACCCGCCTCAACTGCAGCTCTCAGCCTGTCGTTAGGTTGACTGAAAGCTGGACTGAGACAGGATTTCCAGCATGGCCGCTTTGTACAGAATTAATATTTACAGTCTATGTATTAGAGCCATATGAAGGAGCCAATCAGAGGAGAGGATTTTTTCGAATAAGAAAAAGAAAATATTTTAATAAATTGTTGTTTCTCTGATTTATGTTTTCTTCAGCCTCGCACTATGACAAAAATGTTCTCTCCATTTTTGACATCTTGACTTTATTCTCTACATGTTAAAAAAAAAAACTCCCTCCTCATATTTTACTCATGCCTGACTTCTTTAAAAAAGCTGAAGATGATTAGGTTTCAAAACTAGAACGAAAGACGGGCAAAGTTTAAAAAAAAAAAAAAAAGACCCAGATTCTAAAGACATAAGAGTTATTTTTTCCTTTCTTTAAAAGTGAAGTGAGAGCATTTTGACACTGGGTTTACTTCTCTGTAGTTGAGCTGTGGGTTGTAGGTGGTTTCTACATGTTTCGACTTGATAAACACTGCACTTCTCTCCTGGAGCGAGCAGAGAGCGCTTTCACTGCCAACACTGTTGATGGTAGGAGCGTATTCGCAGCATGTTTTCCACTGTGACCTCCATCGCTGCCAGGGAAAAATTCTCCATCTGAGAGACAGCCTCCCACACGCAGCCTTACCTTAACATCTCATCTACATTTTATCACACACCCCTCCCCCCCACATACAGAGAGCTACAGAGAGATATCACCTAAGTATACCTTAAACTATACCGAGCGGCTCAAACGTAAAGGTCATCATACTGTAGGGAACAAAGCAGTGACTGCAGGAAAACATCAGTTAACCAGAGTCCAACGTGTTAAACAAGAAAAAGCCACATAAACACAAGGTGTCAATCTGTTTTTCTCATCTTATCTTTCTCGTTTATTCAAGATCTTGTTTCTTAAAATGTGTCCTGAAGGTTTTTGTGATTAGTCTAAAAGGACGAGGTATTTCCCGTTCTTACCAAGTGTCTTCATGCTGATTTGACCCTAAACAAGAATCAAACGCCAAGTTTTTTCTTTCTGAGATCATTCCAACCTTAATTTTTTTTTTTAGCTTAAATGCCTTCAAATGCATTACATATTGGAGAAGAGGACTCTAGTATTTATCTAGTATTAGCTCTTGAATGTCACCTACTCTGCAAACAACCAAAGCTGCATACCAACTTTACTGTAAAAGCAAGCGGCAACTTACCGACACACACACACACACACACACACACACACACACACACACACACACACACACACACACACACACACACACACACACACACACACATATATTTGTATTGATAAGTTCATTCACAAAACAATGAAAGTTACTGAGTATTTACAAAATATTGTAACTTTCATTTTTGCATGCAGACAAATGCCAACACTCTACTTTTTTTGTATTAAACAACAAGAAACATCCAAAATATTGCTGAACGTATTAGGCAGCAAAAGCTTATCTTATTTATGAGGTGGTTAGTGACTTTTTATCATAAATTCCTTGCTGATGTTGTCAAAGATATCTGAGCACTGCTCTGCCCCTTGACACATTTATAAATATCTGAAGATCTCAGGATATTCACAACCTCCGAGGCACTGAGGATAAAGAAACAGCCCTAAAGACGTCAAAAGAGTACATTAACAGGAACTTAAGTATGAGTGATTTTCTAAACAAAGGCATAGAACTAGAATTTACCAAAATACACATCGTTATGACTCATAGTTAAAAAGTTTCAAATTTGCTCCAGAAGAGCTGCAGTAAATGCAACTTCTTGGAGGTAAAATCACTCCATCAAAGCAGGTTGTTTTGTCTCTTACGACATTACAGAAATGATTCTTGACCTTAGTTGAGGGAAGATGTTTTTGTCTAAAAAAAACAGCCAGACTACACTCCCTTCAAAACTCCTTATCACAGAATTCATAGTTTTCATTTGACATCACACACTCGTGGAAAAGCCCACCTGGAGGGCAAGAAAAACTTAAGAAAAACCTACTGCTGCACACTGAGAAGTGATCTCAGCTGCCACCTGCCTGTTTTAACCAGGTTTTTATTTTGTTTTTTTTAAATAAAAATAAAAATAAAAAAACATGCCGCACTTACTGATGAGGAGACAAGTGCCTGGCTGTTCAGTTTGTTCAGAGCTGTTAAAAAATAATCAGTCAGAGTTTTTTCACTGATATTACGTCCATTTTTTTGGTCATGGTATTGGAGGGATTCTTGGTATGGGCCATTACTCAAATCCAGGTGAAGGTGAGATGGGGCGTGGTGGAGTTGTTTTGAATTACAACCCATAATTAGTAACCTTATTAAAAAATTAAAATACACTTCGAAACTGAGGTTCTTTTGTTGGTGAAAAATAATCAGTAGCTGAAGTTTTCAGCTATTCAAAGTTTCTCACTTACAGCCTCGTTCCAAACACAACAGCAGTTGATTTCATCCTGATCTCCACACTTTCAGCTCAAACGGGTGACTAATCAATCATGGAGTGTAGTGATTGGGTGCAACATAAGGCTGCAGATTGTTGGGATTTAGTGGCACACGTC